TGGTTCCATTTCTGTGATGTTTGGACAAAGGCGAAGCTTTAGAGATGAGGCAGACATTGGTGATTGCTGGGCAGGAAGCGGCGATAGGGGTGGGAGAGCAGTTGACTGCCGGAGTCAGGAGGAGGGGGTGGGGTAGCACTAGATACAGTGTATCATCAACATAGCGCTGGTGTGCAATTAAAAACAATGTATCACCCCCACGGCACACAGCACAACTCCGAAGGACTGTGCATTATTGAGATTTAAGGAATTTTCACTATAAGAGTGAGCTTTACTATATTACATTTTGAGAAATGAGTGTGAGGTTCGATGTGTGTCTCTGGGCCAGGAGTTCAAGTTCACCTAGTACTTACTGTTTGGTGCTGGGCTACACTGTTCAGTGGATTAGTGGGATTCATAGGAATCTCAAGTGTGCGTAACTGAATCTCAGCCATTTGTCTTGCCACCTTCAATCATAGTGGCATCCTTGTGCCTCTCACACTCAGGTTCGGAGCCTAAGGATTGCCCTCTGCCACGCTACCCCTATTCCCAGAAACAAGCAGGAGGCAGGACCGAGGAGTCTGCTTGCGATCTGGACAGGCAGAGGATGACCCAAATCTGTCCCCTGGGAGACTGCACTCTGTTTCCCTGGCAAGTTGCTCATCCTTCCCTGTAACTTAGAGTCCCCACTTCCTCCTCCATATGTATTCTGTGGAACAGCCTGTGGGTACTTCCTGGATTTGTGTCTTGGTGTCTAATCTGGCACTAGCGTCATCAACGACATTTGGCTTCGCTCTCCATCTCTTCGATGGGGGCAATAACAGGCCTCTTTCATGATGAGTCCAAGGACTAAATGACGCAAGTTTGTGCAGTACGTGGCCTAGCACCTGACATGGTGACCCTATGAGGAATATAGTGATTGTCTTGGTCCTGGCCCTGACTACACTGGTAATACATTGATCTGTTTGTGTGCATGTCCCCTCCTGCTGCAGGCAGGCACATCATGAGGTCAGGAGCTGTGTCTTGTGGAGTTTAGTATCTCCACGTGACCGTCACAGGACCTGAGTATAAAAGATGCCTCCCGAAGCTTTCCGACTGAGTAGACAGTTCAGCTGTGACACTGGAATGGTGGGGATGCTGAAGACCCTGACTGTCACAGGAAGCAGCCAGGTCATAGCTCACATGGGGTGGAGCTCACTGGCATGAACTGCACCCACAACCTTCCCGCCGCCACCACCCTCCTCTGGGTTGGAGCCCAGGCACGGGATGAGTGTCTCAAGATCCCCAGCAGCTCATCTGTCTTGCTTTAACACTGGCCGCTCCTGCTCCAGTAAGCCCAGGCTCGCCTGCCTGTGCTCTCTTGTATAGGGACAGAGATTCAGGCATGGGGCTGGGTGGGAACAGGATCTTTCTAGCAGGATAAATATCAGGCCCAGGAAGCACTAAAGTTAGCCTCCCTGGTGCTGGAGAATGACAGGGGGTGGTGGGGCGGGGGAGAAGGAAGGAGGATTTCTCTGTCCATGGTCCTGTTCTGAGTACACAGTGGGTGGTACAGATGGGGATACTGAGGACATCACATTTATCAGGATGTACAGTTGGGAGACAGGCTGTGTCTCAAAAGATTGGACTGGGGAATTAAGGAAGAGTGAATGGGGACAAAGGTCACTGTCTGCTCTCAGGCTCCCAAAGCCAACCATACTCATGTAGAATGCGGTGGACTGAGTTTAACTGGAGCACAAGGAGATCCAGGACTGGTACAGCTGAAATGCATTTACAGAGGTGTGGGGGGCAGAGCAGAGATGGTGACCAATGCTCTTGCTCTGTGCCAACCAACCTCACCTTGGATACAGTGTTCAGTTCTGACAGGCGCACTTTAGGGTGGACATGTCCAGCCAGTCATTCAGTGGATGGTAATCAGGATGATTAGGTGACCTAGCACTGGTTTGTGTAAACACTGGGTGGAGAGATTTTGTGTAGGGAACAGAGATGTGCTAAGGTCACACTAGTGGCAGCCCCTAACAGACTCTGTGTAGGGGAGACTGAACTCGTTCTATGTGTCTCTCCTGTAGCACTGCCCTGTAGAAATTCCTGCAGGAATTGAACTTTTTTTATACATGAGCTGTGTGATATATAACAGACTTATGTGGCTGTGTGTACCAACGTGCATGTGTGTGTGTGTGTGTGTAGTGGCGGTGCATGATCATGTGTGTATATACATTTGTGTCTGCATGTGTACAGATATATTTTTAGTTGTTCTCCACTTTGCTTTATGAGACAAGCTCCCTCACTGAAATTGGAGCTCACAGATTTGTACAGTTTGGTTGGCTAGTCAGCCCCCGGGATCCTCCTGTTTCTGCCTTCCCCGTTCTGGCATTACCATGTTCCTCAGCTGTTACAGGGATACTGGGCATTAACTTCAGCCCCACCCCCATGCTTGTGTGGTAAACATGTTACCACCTGAGCCATCTCCCCAGAGCCCTGGTAGTTTTATTGTTTTAACAATTAACCAATAACTACAGATTGAATTTTAGACAGCACAACTGAAGTATTGGCCCACATGGTCAGTGGCTGTTACATGGGATACCAACCCTGGAGCAGTGGTTCTCAACCTGTGGGATGCATCCTTTGGCAAACCTCTGTCACCAAAAATGTTTACATCATGATTCATCACAGTAGCAAAATTGTGTTATGAAGTAGCAACGACAATAATCTTATGGTTGGGAGGGTCACCACTACATGAGGGCTGTATTAAAGGGCTGCAGCATTAGGAAGGTGGAGAGTCACTCCTCCAGAGGACACATGCAAGAACAGACCAGGGGTCAACAATTTTCTCTAAGACACATATTAGCAGATATATTTGTCTCACCCCTGCCTTAGAATTTTCAAAAGTAGCATACAGCAAGAGAATTGAACATGGCCAAGCACCAGTAAAACTCTCTGTCTGTAGACACCAAGGTTTGAATTTAGCATATTTTTTACATGTCACAAAAACAGTATTTTTCTTTTGATGATATTTTTCAACTCTTTAAAAAAATGTGAGAGTCATTTTTAGCCGACAGGTTATGAGAGAGTGGGTGGGTGGCAGGCTGGCCTGGCCTGCAGGCTGCAGCTCAGTGCTCTGACCTTGGCTGTGGGTGGATGCTTTAGGGGGAATCAGATGATGCTCAGTTTGATGGAGCCAGCAGCACAATGATCACCCCGAGAAGTCCTGGCTAGATAGACCAATTGTCCATCAGAGGTGGTGTGGGGATATTCTCTTGGCTCAGGTTATGCTGTGTGTTCCCCAATTCTGCAGAGATGTTGAAGTTAAGGGGACATCTCCATGCTGTAAATACAGTCGCCCACCCTCACTTGGCTCTTAGTCTTGGCCACATAGGACTGGGTTAGGAGCTGCTCGGGTGCTAACCTGGTTTCCTTGCTTCATAATTTCTGCCACATATTCAGGCTTCCCCAAAGTGTACCTTAGTGGACAGTAAGTTCATTTATGCTCAGTAGGTATGGCAATTATCTTTCTCTTACTGTGGCAGAATACTTGGGATAGACAATTTACAAGGAAGAGGGTTTGGGTTAACGCTTGGCGTCATCAGATGATTCAGCTTGTGGTTTACTGGCATGATTTTGAACCTGTGGTCATACAGAACATGATGGAAAGGGAGCCATGTGGTAGAGGAGGCCTGTTCACCTCTGCACTGTCAAGTGGTCAGGAAGAAAAACAAAAAACAAAAACAGCCCAATAAAACTTAAAAAAAAAGTCTTACGTCACTACGCCCTAATTCTTAAAGGTTTTCACTACCCAATATGTCAATGGTCTGGGCCATAGCTCAGTTAGTAGAGTGCTTGCTCTCAGTTAGTAGAGCCTGGAGCTCTGAGTTACATCCCCAGCATTGTATGAATCAAGTGTGGGACTACACATACGCATTCTCAGCATTTAGGAGATACAGGCAGGAGAATCAGAAGTTCAAAGTCTCCCCAGATATATAGAAAGTTGGAAGTCAGTCCAGGATACATGGACCTCTGTCTCAAACATACAAAAAAATCTCATCTCACCCACACACTCGGCCACCCACCCACCTAACCAACCAATCAAACAACCTAACAAAAACCAAACCAAGAATGCCACGGGCTGGGTCCTAATCCCTAACACATGGACGAACCTTCAGATAACATTCAAGATCCAAACTACAGCTCCGAAGAGACTTTGCTTTGCTGAGAATACCCAAAGCCTGTCCCCAAGAAAGGAGAGCCCCTGGGTCAAACAGCTCTGCATTCTGCCACTTAGCCCCCTGTAGGGGTACGGATGGCTGGGTTAGGATGAGGCCTCGAGAGCCTTTACCCTCATCTGGCTCCTGCTGCGGAGGGGACATGCCTCATCCTGTGATAGCAGAAGGTCCCCTCCCTATCCTCCTCCTCTGACAAATGGGGAACCATAGCTCCCTAGGGAGCTTGGAGCGTATGCCCAGATGAGCCTCCAGAGACCGCAGTAGTGGGCCTGGCCTGCCTGGGGCTGCTGATTCAGTCTTTGGACATTTAGAGATGGGATTGTTTCTCCTTGTGACAGTTTAGCTTCCCTTTTCTTCCCTTCCTTTCCCCTGACTTTTTTTGACTGACAGTTGGCATTTCTGCCAAATAGAATACAAACAAGCAAAGAGACAAACAACCCGGCTGCAGTGCCTGTCAGGGACGATGCTAAAAGTGCTGGTTGGAAGTTTTACATTTTTATGCCTTTACCAAACTTAGCTCCATCAGAATAGTTTTTCCACATCTTTGTACAGGCTGCATAAGGAAAATAAAATGTTAAAAAATAGTTACTTGGGAAGTTTCAAATCAAGCATCATAGACAGAAGACAAAAAATGTATGTGCCCATTGCCAGTTTTGACAGTGGCCAGCTCCTGGCCAGCTTTGTGTGGCCTCCACCCCGTCCTCTCCTCCTAGGGTGTCTGGCGGCAGAGCCGCAGATAGGTTTTGGTAGTGGCACTGACCGCATGTGCACAGTATCCTGATTGTATGTGTTTTCTTTCAGATAATCGCCTTTGACGAGTTAAGGACGGATTTTAAGAGTCCCATAGACCAGTGCAACCCTGTCCATGCGGTAAGTAGTGGTGCCAGTGGTGGGCAGGGAGTGTCCCCACATGTCCCCGGGTTTGTGAAAGATGGGGGGAGGGTTAAAGAGCAGAATATACTGTCCTGGTCCTGCCTATACTCCTTGCTGATAGTTACTCCAGGGTCTCCTTGCTGAGGTCTGTTGAGCTCTTGCAATACATTGCTAGTCAAGTGTGGCAGTTCCTGTAGCCTGGTGGGGGGTGGGGGGATCTGCTGGATGGTGGTGCTGAGTCCTCAAAGCCTGATGCCAGTGATTTTTGGTTCCTTATCTATGACCATAGACAAAGGCTCTGTGTTGGCCAGCATGTCTATAGGGTGTGCAAGTATCGTGTATGAACCTTGCTCTGCGGGAGGTGGGCAATAGTTGGATTTCTCATGGAAGGTAAATGGATGGGTGCAGCACTAGGTACAGTCCCATTATCTGGTGGACTTTCATCTCTCATGCCTGAGTCTTCGGGTCAGCTCAGGCACCAGGGAATCTGGTGCAGTCTGGTTTAGGAACTCTGGGTTCTGCTTCTGGGTCTCAGGTCTGGAACTCCACTCTACTCAACTCCAAAGCCTGTCTCCTGACCACCAACTCAAGATGGTTTTGGAAATGACTTGACTTTATATCTAAGCCCTGCTTTGGCATCACAGCCTATGATTCTATAAAGTAAAGCCGAACTCTTTCAAAGTCAGCTATAAAAAGCAAACTGGGTTAGTTGAAAGTACCCTTAAGAACCACTTGAAAGCTTAGTGTACTTCATAAAAGTTGTAATTTTTAAAACCCACTTTATTCTCCTCTACCAGCCTCACCACCCACCTGTGATAACTTGACTCTGGCAGGCCTGATGGTTTTTGCCCAGGGTCTCATGTCTTTCTGGACACTGAGCTTGGCATCAACAGCACACACCTGCTCATCAGTACCCATAGGTTCTCAGACTGGCTTGAAGCCAAGCATGTTCATTTCTCAACGCCAGGAAGTTAGGAGCCTGAGCCCTCCTCCAGCTTGTCTAGAGTTTTTCTGGTAGGATTCCCAAGAAGAATAAGTGGGGAGATCTTCCCAGCCCCCTTTTTCCATCATGCCAGTTTCGTGCCAGGTTGTGGACACCTGGTGAAACCTGGAGATGCTTTTGTGGAGTCTGCTTTTGGCTCATCAGGACAACTCCTTTATTTCGGCACTATGTTAAGACTTGCATACCTGCCGCCCCTTAGGGAGTGTGTGTGTGTGTGTGTGTGTGTGTGTTTACCTGCCGCTCCTTAGGGAGTGTGTGTGTGTGTGTGTGTGTGCGCATACCTGCTGCTCCTTAGGGAGTGTGTGTGTGTGTGTGTGTGTGTGTGTATGTGTGTGTGCATACCTGCCGCCCCTTAGGGAATAGGGGGGCTTGCTTCTGGAAAGACAGTGCAGAAAAGCAGTCACTAGGAGCATCCAGAACTACTTGCCAGAAACAGAAATGGGTACCACAGGATGAAGGTATGGACCTCTACCCCTTTCTCTTCCTGTGGTTCTGGGATGAGCCCAAGCCTTTGCATATTCACAAGACAAATGCTTCACCACTGAACTACGTTCCAGCTCTGTTTATTTTTTTTTTGTAAACTCCTATTATGGCAACATTTCTAATTAGTTATCAGATTAATTTAGGAGTGGAGTTCTGTGAAGCCCAGACATGGACAGACCAAAGCCTGAGGTGTCCCTGGGGGAGAGGGATTAAAAACAAAACCGAAAAATCTTGAAAGCTGTAATTAGGCGAGCATGTAGACACGTTACGATTCTCCCTGTTGTTGGGACATTATTTCCCAGCAGGGAATGGAATGCTCCAGCCACTTCATTGAGCTGTCGCCAGCCCTCTGGCCTCCTGGAGGCCCCCAGAGGAGAGCAGCATTCAGTCTCTGAGACTTACAGACCTCAGATCTTTGGGCATTCCAGGGAAGTCCTCTACCACTGAGCTACAATCCATGTTCCTTTGATTTAAGGTGCTCTAAATCTTCTAGTATTGGCGGAAGTTTTGTTGGACCTCTTCCAGGGGCACGGAGGCGGGGGGAGTTCCCTTTCCATCTTCCACCCCCACTAGGAAGTCTCTATCACAGGAGGGTTGGTGTTTTCCTTCAGGGCTCTGACTTGCTGGAGTATGTATAACTCTTGGTTGTGTGTGCATCTGTATGAACTCTCTCACGTGTGTAGCTTGTCTTCCCCGACATGTGGGCAATAGCTCGTCTTGATGTGGCTCCTTCCTCTAGGTTTACGGGCTACACAGAGATCACTGTATTATGATTCAATTAGGGAAACTGAAGTGTCCCAGCCACCTGTCCTCTCCTGATCCACAAGGAAACTCATTACCGTTATGTCTACAGCAGCCAAATTGCTTCAGTAATGAAGCACCAGAGATGCCACAGCTGTGCTCAGCGTGGCTCAGAAATCTTGACAGAGCAGAGAAAAGAAGCTGGAGCATTGAACGTCTGCTGTGGGCAGCATCCTCTGTTCAGCTTCATAACATCTTCCCCTGGGAATGAGCCAGTTCTTGGAGACAGATGGACTTGATATCTAGAAAACTCATAGCCTGGGGCACAGTTGGTAGCCTGACTCTAGGGAGGGCTTGCTTCCTCCAAGTGCACTCACATGGAAAAAGTGAAGCCAGGGAGCATCCCCTAATGAAGATACAAGCTTGCTGCTCTTTGAGATCCAGGAAGGTGTCCTGCGCCTGAGATACATAGTAGCATATGGTGCCCACCCTGAATGCAGATCATCTGTGTGTGCATGAAGACTTGAATGCTGGATGGGAAAGAAGAATGCATGCTTTTGCCACGAGTGTTTTTTTTAAAGATAGAGGTATACTGTGTGTATACATGTTCATGTGTGTGCCCATGTGTGCAAGTACATTTGCACATATATGTTGAGGCCAGAGGTTGATGTCATATGTCTTCCTCTGTTTCTCTGCACAGTTTTGTTTGTTTGCTTTGTTTTTGATTTTTTTTTTGTTTTGTTTTTTTGAGACAGAATTTCTCTGTACCTTTGGAGTCTGTCCTGGACTAGCTATTGTAGACCAGGCTGGCCTTGAACTTACAGAGGCCTCCCAAGTGCTGGGACTAAAGGCGTGTGCCACACTTGTTTTTCCTTTTTAAGGTGGGCTCTGTTATAGGACTGGAAAAGTGGCTCAGTGGTTAAGGGTCTGTCCTGCTCTTGCAGAGGACCTGAGTTTGGTTCCCAGAGCTCACATAGGTTGGAACTCTAGCTACAGGGGATCTGATGCCCTCTTCTGGGCTCTGTAGATACCTGCACTCAAGTGCATACACCCGTACTTTCACACACTCATGCACACACACACATCACACAATTAAGTCATCATCATAATAAATGACAGGGTCTCTCAATGAATCTGGAAGTCTTAGATTTGGCTAGACTGTCTGGTGAGCAAGTCCCAGGGATCCTCTTGTCTGTGCCTCCCTGGCACTGAGATTACAGGTTCATGCCATTACAACTGGCTCATTACATGGGTTCTGGGACCTGAACTCAGGTCCTCAGGCTGCAGTGGACACTACCCCCTGAATCATCTCCCCAGCCCGCCAGCAGAGTTCTTTTAAGAGCAAATTTCTACCAGGTAAGGTGGCTCATGCCTGTAAAGCCAGCACTTGGGAGACTGGCACAGGAGGAGTGTCACGAGTTTGAGGCCAATTGAGGTGACACAGTGAGCTCCAGCATAGCCTGCGCTGTAGCCCTGTCTCCAAAAACAACAACAAAACAAAACAGAATAAAAGAGCGAAAAGCAAGTGGCTCTGAAAGGGTAAAGTAAGAGGCTCAGACTCTGCCGGGGAGAGCCGCTAGCCTGTGCTTGGGATGTGTCTTCCTCTGCTGGGGTAGGCTATGCGCGCTCACACTCTCAAGTCACCCTTAACCTCCTGTTTCCTTTCTTTCCTGTGCCTCCTTAGAGGGAGCGACTGAGGAACATCGAACGCATCTGCTTTCTCCTGAGAAAGGTCAGAGGGGTCCTCCAGGTGGATGGAGGGAGGGTCATGGCATGGCGCGAGGGGACATTGGGTGAACGGCAGCAGGGAGGGCAGGGTGGGAGCAGGCTCAGCTCTTTGAAACCCTCAGAGGCAAATAGGAACTAATTGCAGGAAGTTGTTCAGCTGGTGTCAGCAAGACACTGGCCATGTCGGGGGCTCTCTGGTTGCAGTTGAAGGGTGTCCCTTTTCCGTATGATGGTGGCTGACATTTAAAGCTCCTGGCACTCCCCAGTCTTTGTTCCTGTCTGTGCTGGGCTCTGGATTTTAATGGCACCTCCTGACATAAGGAAGATTTTAACTAGACGCCTTGTGTCTTGAGGTTTGAACCTGTCACTCAGCTTTGCAGTCTGGCCTTTTGACAGGATCACTGAGTACAGTGGAGGGGTAGGCCAGGAACGTGCTGTCAAAGGGGGACAGTAGACCACAGCTGTCCCAAGCTTCTTCTGGAAGCACGTGTGCACACATGCCACCCAGGCTGGGAGTTTGGCATTGTTCAATTCCGCCCTCCTCCAATCAGGAAAGTCAGTCAGCAAAGCTTAGAGAAGAGGGGCTCATGGGTGAAGTAACCAAGGTCCATGGCCTTGAGCCAATGGCTGTCCCCAACCTCAGTACAGAGTGGAGGGTAACTGTCCACAGGGAAGCCATTGTCTTCCCAAATACAGCCTTTTGCAAAACGAAGAGCCCTACCAACACTGGCACTAGTTGAAGACTTTTACAAAGTTGTGAAGTTCTCCATCTTTTGTTGGAGGGAGCTGAATCTAGAAGCCCATCATTTCTCTAGCTAATAACTTGCCCTTTAATGTTAGCTAAGAAACCCAGTATGTTAGAATCCTGCCTCTTATTTGTCTCAGCAGGGATGCATGCTCAGATAAGAGCATGCATTTGGAAATACTAGTGATCCAAGGAATAAAGAATGATTAAGAAAATAGCATATAATTTGCATTAAAAATGTGCAAATTACTTCCTAGATAATATCACAGACACCAGCAGCAGACTCCAGCCATCAGCTCCGTGTCCTCTGCTGTGCTCGTTAAGATAATGCCTAAGTGACACAGGCCTGAGGGAGACAAAAATCAAACTGCTGTCTCTCAGGCGCCCTCCCATCCTGAGTGCGTCACCCCTTGTTCTCTATCACATGATCACTTCCAGTCACATCCCTTAGCCTTGCTCAACCTTCTGCTGCCTGGCTGCAGACTGACCACAGGAGGCAATGGCCACCCGTTGCCCCATCGAGGTCCTGCTGCCTACAGTCTTATGCTCTAGGCATTTCCAAGGTCAGAGCGAGGATGTGATGCAAGCTATCCATGGCTTAGCTTTGACATAGGCAAATCTGCATGTGGTTTGCATCTGCCCCGCTAAGCAGCAGAGGAAAGTGGTTTACATGGCAAATACTGTATTCCAAGTGCCTTTTCCTTGCTCCTTCCTTTCTCGCTGCTGCCTCCAATGCTAGTTAGACACAACTGCTGCTCGCTGCAGTGGGCAACACCAGGGAAGACAGTCCAAGCTAGCTAGTCATCAGAGAGCTGATGGACTCAGGTGCAGTAGCTATGCAAGATCATTCCCCTGCGGCCTCATGGTTCTCTGGTTCCATGGAGTGGCCAGCACTATGTGGCTAACAAGGCAGGTACCAGTCAAGTGCCCACCATGTTATTCCTTCCAGGAGTCTCCCTTTTGCTCCATACTCTTGCCCCAAGCCTGGCTTTTAGCTTAAGATGCTACTGTGTATCCTTTGCCATTGTGTCTGCCTGCCCTGGGTACCCAAGACCATTTTCATTAATGTCAGCAGAACACAGTTTCTTTCTGGGTGCAGTTTGAGTTGTTGAGACTTCTGCACCTAGCCTTTGGGAATCTTCTTTAGCTTAACGTGGTAACTTTATAGGCTATTCCCACAGATGTGTGCAAGTGTTCTAGGCATGAGGTCTGTTTCTGCTACTGGAATGTTTGGAAAGGTCGGAGATGTTGAGTTGACCATCGGATATGGTGACAGTGAATGCTTGGGAAGGTCGGGTGATGTTGAGTTGACAGTCAGATATGGTGATAATGACTGAAAGGTGGTATGCAGCCTATTGAAGATGCTCACTCTGTGTTTACTAAGTGAATGAATAATAGATGGTTTGTCCCTCTTGTTAGGAGTGCTGCCACAGTCTTCATTTGGGGATGCTAGGACCAACTATCTATGATGTACTGCTCTTGCCCCTTAAAGATGGCATTTATTCTCTCTCTCTCTCTCTCTCTCTTCTCTCTCTCTCTCTCTCTCTCTCTCTCTCTCTCTCTCTCTCTCTGTGTGTGTGTGTGTGTGTGTCTGTGTGACAGGGTGACAGGGTCTCATGATGGAGCTTAGGCTAGTCTTGAGCTCACAATGTAGCAAAGGCTGGCCTTGAACTCCTCATCCTCCTGCCTCCACATTCATATTACTAGTGCTGGGATTACAGGTGTGTGCCACAATGCCCATTGCTAATGACATACTTTCTCCATCAGGGACACACCTTTTAATCCTTCTAATCCTTTCAAATAGTGCCACTCCTTGGTAACTAAGCATTCAAATATATGAGCCTCTGGGGCGGGGGATTCCTATTCAGACTACCACAGTGACGTGCAAACATCACCTCCCAATCCTGTCCCTACCATTAGCATTTCTGTGACCTGTGGGGTATGACCCAGGATGACCCTCTTTTCTTTCAGGAGGGTGACATTGAGTATTGAATGTCATGAGTATTGTGCCTCAGGCATGCAAGGCAAGTGTTCTACCACTGAGTTACATCCCCAGGCCTCAGGGTGACTCGTAAGTAAGAGAACAATAGCACTTCATCCTCATGGCGTTATCCTGAGGATTCATTAAATTACACACACATGCAGTTCACATGTACTTAACACTACTAAATGTCATTGTTAGTGACCTGCCCTTCATTCCTCCTAAAATCCTATGACATCTCCATGGGCACACAGGCTGAGAAGAGGCTTTGCCTGATGACATTCTCCCATCATCTTAGGTAAGTAACGTTCAATGTTTTGGAGACAAGGTTGTGAACAAAAGTGGTATAGCCTGGGCTGCTCCCTGCTATTTGTTCATGTTTCAAACAGGCTACATCCAGATTCCCAAGCTGCGAGCCCATGCTAGGGATAGCGTGAAGGCCCTGTGGATCTAGTTAGCATCACCACCTTCTGGGAATTGTACCTTCCAAGAAATTCCTTGGAACCAGCTTCCCAAACAGCTCACAATGGATGCGTCTCTGCGCTGATCGCTGCTAAGCCACCTCCTCGGCCTTCTTGCAAGAAAGGAAAGGGGTGCAAAGTGGCTCCATTTTTAGCTCTAGAATTATCGGAAAATGTGTTCCTTGGGTAGTTGTCTGAACTGCAGGGTGCTGGTGTTGACTGTGCGTGTGATTCATGCTTTGTGGGTGCTCGTACAACTCTCTCCACCCGGCGTGTAGTAGGCTCCGTGGGCTGTGACACACTCTGTTTGGGAGAGACATCGTGGAAGGTTTGGTGGCTGTTCCCAGGTACACATAGGCTTCTTGTGGCAGGCAGACTTGGGAGGGGCAGCCTGCTGCACCTGTGAGTTCAGAGTGGTCTCAGGGAAGAGCTTAAGTGGGAACCAAAGAGTTGGGATGAGAATAAAGAGGAACTTGCTTTATCGGCAGTGATCCCCAGGCCTCGGATTTGGTAGTCCTGAGGTTCCTTTGGCTAGTAGAAGAGCCAAGGCCACGATAATTGTGTGTTTGGCTGATCTTGCCCAAGGTGAGGGATTTAACTGCTTAGTTTGGGACGTCTCTCTGGGATCCTTCTTCATGTCCTAGTTTCTCCAAGAGTGTGTCTGGTTCCACGGCTGGTTTTCTGGTGTCAGTGGATGGAATCCCCTCTTGTGTGTAGACAACTTCAGTCTCCTCTTGAGGATTCTCACTGAGAGGGATAGGAGTGGGCGGGGCTTGTGGAGGTAGTGGAGCTGATTTCAGGGGGATAATGGGAGAGATGGGTGTTCTGGGTTCAACACTGGGGCAATCACAGAGACAGTGAGAATACAGGTACTCCCCCAAATGCTCCCCGTCCCAAGCTTCCCAGATGGCACCTCTGTCACAGGGAAGAGCCCAGGTATGAAACAAAGCTGCCAGTATCAGTTGAATCTTTTGTAGAAACTCCATAATGTGGCTTCAGTGGAAGTCACTTCTGTTAAATGAGAAGTCCCCGAAGTCTCAATTTGCCACACACGTGGATGCACAAACACTTATACACTGTGTCCCAGGGCTGACTTCAAAGTCTTCAGGGTCCAGTGAAAAATGACAACATAAGACTTTATGTAAAAAAAAATGAGAATTTCAAGAATTAGATAACAGAACATTCAAAGAGGTTCTTTTCTGAGCCCAGTGTCCTGTGCCACCACATGGGCCACATGTCCCTGCAGTGGGCTCCACCTGTGTCCATGGTCTATAATTCTTTCTGTTATAATAGAATATGTCTGCTCTCTGTTGAAGATGGGCTTTATCACAGGACCAGATTTGTGCACCGGGATATGGCTAGATGTTTGCACATATTGAAGCTAAGAGAGTTGCTGGGAAATACCCTCTCCCTCTGTAAGTTCTGATGCCTCCAAGGCCAGCCCAGTGTGTGAGGAGACTGTGACCCCGAGGAAGTCACCTGAGCTATCTGAAGTTCAGAGTCAAGCCTACTAGGTCTCACACACCTACCTACCTATTAGATGCAGGAGCAAATGTAAATTACTCTTGTTTTGCCACCTGAATTTTAGAATGATTTATTGTATAATACTATGTGGCAATAGCTGTATTAGTCAGCTTTCTGTCGCTGTAATGAAATACCTGAGGCAGTTCATGCATAAAGAGGTGACGGTTATTTTGGCTCACATTTTCTGGAGGCTCCAGTCAGGTGGCCTCATGTAACCTTTAGCATCATGGTTAGCGCATCATGGTAGCAGTACATGGCAGGGAGAACTGCTCACCTCATGAACTATGAAACCA